TCCTCCCTCTCCTCCCTCTCCTCCCTTTCCTCCCTCTCCTCCGCGCCGAGGAGGGTCGCCGATGAGGGTCGGCGAAAATGTCGCTCCTGTCCGATTTTTGGACACTTAGGCATCCGTTCACGTTCGCTATGGACTATGAACTCCTGAAATGTAGACTGGAGTGAGCTCAAACAAGCGTTCGCGGCGGTTTGCGCCGACCCTCTTTTTCGCTGACCCTCTTCGGCGACCCTCCTTCCCGCCCCTTCTCGGCGACCCTCCTCGGCGCGACCCTCCTTTTCGCCGGACCCTCCTTTTCGACCCTACTTATGGCTAACTGCATATCCTCCAGTCTGTGCGGGCTGGGCAGGTTGTGCAGCAGGAGGTCGGTACAGGCGCCGCTGGGTTGTAAACATTTCATTGGCCGCCTCAGTGCCGTGCGCGCCTCGCCGCACCGCGCCACATCAAAGCCCGCCCGCGTCCTGCTGGGGCTGGGCTGGGGTGCGTGTGTGAGAGCGAGCCTGCACTACACACGTTCAGTTGGCCGCCGGCAAAAAGCCGTCCGGTCGCCGCGTCGTCGTGATCTGCAAACACTCCTCCTCGCCACGCCGACCACGCCACCACGACCGGGGGCTGCTGCGTCGTACAATGCGACGGCTAAGCATAATCCGCACTGCCGGCCGTGCCGCGCAGACCGCAACGCCGCCGTGGCGCTCTTGCTCCTGGACACGGAGACGCGCAGCTGCAGCCGCTTCTGCTGGCTCACGTCACGACACTAGGGGGGGCCCAGGGCGGCGGGCCGGGAGGGAGGGTGACATCGGGCGCGGCAGGGGCAGGGGCAGGGGCACGGAGGCCCATGCAGGAAACGAAAATCATAAAGAAATAAAAAGAGTGCCCAATCGAGCGGCGTTGGCCGTCGTCCCCTTGGAGAGGGGCCACTTACGGGTCTCATTACGGGCATTGTTACTGCGGCGACGTGTGGCGCGGTATGGACCAGGTATGGACCAACGCCGGCGGGGACTACGTGCAGTGGCGTCGCCCCTGGGGGATCAGCAGCGAGTGCGAGCGAGACGGAAGGTTGTCGCTCTCTCTCTCTCTCACTCGCAGCAGGCCGCGCGACCAGCGAGCGACCCTCCCCCTCGGGCCGCTGATCAAGGTCCGCTGTCATTTGGCTGCGTTCGATCAAGGCCGCAGCAGCAGCAGCAGCGGTGCCGAAAATTATCGGTCCCACGACACTCGAGACTCTTGAAGAGTCAGTCTGGAGCAGGTGAGGTGAGGCAACCGCTCTGCGGGGCGGGCCGGCAGGCCGCGCTGCGCACGCATGGGCTGAGTGACAGGTCAACGACGACGGCGCGCCTGTTGACCTGCCAAGCGCAGCGCGACACGCCGCGCCCTGCCAGAGTGTTGTTGTTGTATCTTGATGAATTCCAGGCGGTCAGCTGTTGGCGTTCCTGTTGTCGGAGCAGGTCAGTCAGCAGCGCCGGAGGGAGTCGCGCGGACAGCGGCAGCGGCAGGGCAGGGCAGGGCTCGCTCGTGGTGGTGCGAGACCGAGACGCTCGCTAGAGACACGTGAGGGACGAGTGCGTGTGCTGGAAGTCGTTGGGATGATTTATTTGAGAGAATGGAGGCCGTCCGAGTGAGTCCGGGCGAGCAGTATGGGTGCGGCCGGGCTCAAGAGGAAGCAGCCGACGACTTTGGTACGAGTGTGTGTGTGCGCGCCACTCCCCCGAAGCACCAGGACCCACCATAGGAGTGCCCAAACCAGAGCGCGCAATCCCGGTCGATTCGGCGGCCGTTTGAAGGTCAGGACAGCGACGGTGTCGAGGAGGACGCGGTGGCAATGAGCGTGCAGCAGGTACGTGTGTGTCTGCAGTAGAGGTTGCTGCGCTGCCACTGCCAAAAAAACCGGCGAACTTTACGCTTAAACTATTTAACTTTGCAAAAGCACAAGCTGCTGATAACTGCGTAGGTATCATCTGTTAAAAAGTTCGTTTTTCCATCGAGGTGCCTCCACAACCCTCCCCGAGGTAGCGCGAGGTAAAGTTGGGCGACAAACTAACGCTCTGCTGCCCGCTCTCCTGCCCGCTCTCTTGCCCGCTCTCCTGCCCGCTCTTGGGCACACTCTGGGCGGGCCGCCGACTCCGCACAGCTGCTTGGCGGGCTGGCCTACCCAGCGCGTGGCAGGCGCTATCATCATAAGCGTTTGCCTCGTGAGACGTCGTTTATTGTGGTGGCGCCTCCACGCAGTAATCTTCGAGTTTACCGCGACTACCCTCCTCCCCCACTATTTTTCTTCGTGAGTATGTTGCGTACGCCGAGGTGTGTTTTCGGTGCCGACGCCGAACGCTGTGCGGCGGCGTGAGGGGCGGCCGGGGTGATCCGTACCGTCTGTACCCGGATGTTCTGCCGGCTCTGCTGTTTGTTCCTCACCTCCTCTGCAAGTGCGAGCGTTGGTGCCGCGACTCGCCTCGGCACGCCAATAATACATATCATTGCGGAGGAAGAGTGTACGAGCGGGGCCGGGCGGGGCGGCCGGGGAAATGTGAAAGGTTGCCCTGAACATGGACGAGAAGCGCTAACGGCCGCGGCTCAACGCCCCATTAGTTGAGGTGAGCACGCAAAAAAAGGGGGCGCCTATTTGTCCGACACCGTTTTGCTGCTCCGCTCTGCTCCCGCCGCCGATGTTCTCGCTCCGCGCGCTCTGCGTCTCTCTGTCTCTCGCGTGTTTCCCACCACAACAGGGAGAGAGGGAGAGAGAACGCCAAATCCTTCTGGGGCGGTGTGGATGGATAGGAGCAGCGGGGTGGGGCCGAGATCTTGTTCTCCGGTCTCGTGTCCTCCGGCTGGACCGCGACGACGACGACGTCATTTCTGCGACGCTTTGTCCAAACCGTCTCCGAGCAACAGGTACTACACGGCGAAAACACGGGCGGCGGGTGCGGGAAAAGGGTACCCTACTAAAAAAACCAACAGAAAAATCAGAAAAAAATAATCAAAAAAAATCAAGAAAAAAATCAAGAAAAAAATCAGAAAGATCCGGAAAAATCGAGGAAAATGAGAAAAATTGGTGAGCGTTTGAATTGATAGTTTGCGGTCGGTCCGGGTGGGGCGCGGGCGGCACGTGGGCGCGCGGCGGGGAGCGCGCGGCCCGTCGCGCTCATTATTATTGATGATTGATTTGATTCGATAAATCAGCACTCGGGAGCACGTCGATAGTATCGAAGGGCAGCAGACCGCACCTGTTTGTGTGCCAGCGCGGGCCGGCGTATTGGCCAACACACGGCGCCGAGCGTAACTTGGCGACTTAGCAAGCCAAACAAGAGCGTAATTCCCAATCCGCCAGAAGAAAAAAAAAAACGAATACTTGTCGGACGACGTCAAACTGGGCGCGTGCGAGCGCGTGTGTGTGCCACGACCACGACGGCTTCGACCTATCCTATGATGTTGGCAACCCTCGCGGCGGTAACGCGGTTGGTAACCCTGCGGTGACGGGGCCACTTGCTTGTCGCCGCTAATCAGATCAAATGCCGCGATACTGCAGCAGAGTGCTCGCCTCGCGCATTGTTGCTGTTATGTTGGCTACTTTGTCGTCAATTAATTAGCCCTCGCTGAGCCGACGGGAGCCGTGGCCGCAGGCGGCGTCGGGGTCGGCCGCCCATTGCAGGCCTTGTCAGAGAGTGTGTG